ATGGAGAAACGACGCTTATCCTCACCTTGTTTGTAGGGTAATCCCAAAACTTTGAAACCATTGAAGGCTTTCAGGTACTGTTTCTTCTTACTGCTCATGAAGGGGACTTGTATGGTGCTGCCATTAAGGAGGTGGAACTCCCGGTCTTTTGTCTCTGATGCATTGAATTTTTCCGCCCAGGCTCCTTTAAAGTACAACGCATTTGCTAAAATGAGCCGTGTTGTATTGTCAACTGCACCGGCGGGGAGTATCTCTTTGATAAGTCCACCCGTTTCCTTCTCAACCCAGGAATTAACTTGATTAGCCACTTCAATTGCCTGCCCAATCCATTAGAAGCCATTATATAAGTGTCGTTTTTGGTTCTAGATCTGTATATTACAGGTGCTCCCATTAAGCACTAGACTTTAGCCTCCCTTTGGTAGACTGGTTCTACTTATTCTGCTTCGTAGAATAATAAGTTGAATGCTCAGAATAAGCATAACAAGTAGTTTTCGACTAGTTATTTCAGTATTTGACTTAATGACATTTTAAATAATTAAACAAACACTTTTTCATCCGGATCATTAAAAGGGTTCACCCATTTCAGAAAAATAATCTAGAGCAAACAGGCTGGGTGCATCCTAAGCGTAAAACATGAACCAAAACTGGACTCTACATAAGATCATTTAGACTGTAGAAGAAAAATCATTATGAATCTCTACCCAGTAAGACAAAAAGAAATCAGATCAGTTTGGAGTGCCACTATCAAGATGTAAATTTCTATTATTAGCCCAAACATATTTTATTCCTTCATAGTTTCAGTATTTCGAATTCATTGATCCAAAAGCACACCAAACTAATCTGAAGTTCTGGACCAATGTTATTTCAAGGAGTATACTTTTATTTGGGAAAAACAAAGCGAACAATTTTGAAATCCATCATGTCAATAGCATTCTACTGCAGACATGAGAAGCCAATAGAACTGAGAATGATCAAATTGGAACTGAGAAGGTTAAAACCCTAACCCTGTGCTGGAAGTCAACCGATTCAGAAACGGCCTTATAAACAGTGTTCACGACATGCTTAAAGGAATCCTTCAAGGGAAGAGTCTGCTCGATCCACGCACCGTTTGCCACCGACAATAGAGGGCCACCTACAGAACTTCCGTCGGCGAAGATGACGGAGACGATCTGAGACGAAAAGGCGTTGAGATCTTCGGTGGACTTGGAGTTCAGGAAAGCGAGCAGCTGGTCGAGCGTCGGGCCTTTCGAGCCGGCGGCAATCAGGCCCAAGACGACGTTGACTGAGAGAGGAGAGAAAACAAGGTTGGAATCTCCTTTGATTTCGGTAGAGAAGACATGCTTCGCTAGCTTGAAAGAAACTTCTACATGATTTCTGATCGATTCACGAAGGTCCATTTTCGCGGTTATTGAAATGAGGGAGAATGCAGGTAGAACAAGGAGAGTTTTATGATTTCCCTTTCTCTTTTCACTTTTGCCAGTCTTTTGGTTAAAACTAAAAATTCCTTGAGTTAATTGTGGGATAAAGATAAAAACAATCCCGAAGTAATTACTCACTCTACTTTTATTCATTTTCATTATGTTAATTTTCTAGAAATTAAAAATATAACTGATACGAGAAGTAAAGATTGTTGCTAAATAAAAATTTGATAAGAGTACAAAAAAAAGGTACAAATAAAGAATATAAAAGAAAGAGTCAAAAACAAGTTGTAAAAGATGGAGGGAGTATAAAGGTGAAATTCATGCTAATAATCCCTATTTAGGTGTTTCTACTACAATAATCCGTACAGAGGATGTTAATAAAATTAATCCGAACTTGTAAATCAGTTCACAAAAGTAAATGAAACTAAACGGAGTCAAACATTCCGTTCACACAATCACAAACCGACCGCCACAACACCATCCTTCTGTGTTCTTGTTACCTTCTTGTCCCTAGTTAGAAGCACTTTCTCCTCTTTTTTCATTAAATCACATAATCACTGATTTAAAATCCATATTTGCAAAAAAAAAAAGTGATTTGCAATCCATCTATTGCAAAAAGTCAAAAGATCACATATCCAAATATGGAATTATTTGGAGACACTCTTTCTTTCGAGCTATTTTTAGTGTCAAAATGTGTACCGTGTTTTCGATGATCAAACAAGATGATAAATATATGCGATGACAGTAATAAGTAGTAGCAATAATAAATAATTGGACTAATATAATGTTTTAAGCTCATAATACAGTTCAATATTATTTGGTGTTCTGTATTTGAGGTATCTCACCGTGGGAGTAGAAGAAAAAGTAAATGGCTTTTTTAGATGTTTTTTTGTTGAAAGAGACCACGAGAGGAAGAAGAATGAGATAGGGGGAGATGAGGTGGTAGCCTAAGAAGAGAGATAGTGAGATAATGGTGTGCTGGAGAAGTATGGTGAGATTCATGGGTCTGGGGTAACATAAAACGGAACTGTTACCTCCGTCTCATTTAGTGTACTTACGTGGATAACTTTATCAATTTGGGTTAGTTTCATTAATATTTCTAATATGTATTAATATTGTAGAATGGACTTAAGTATGGATTATTAATATGAATTTCTCTTACAATTTTTTTCATGGAAAATTCTATTGGTACCTTTTTTACGCTTTCCCTAATTTTACTTGTATACATGGATAACTCGTTTAAAAAATGCAGTTCATCTATGTACGTAATCAAAATAGAAGGATGTGCAAAAAGCGTACACCAAAATTGTACACCAAACACAACTAATTAAATGCAATTTTGGAAATGCTATTATCATAATATGCACCAAAAATCATATTTATAGCCGTTTAGTAACACTGAAATTGGCTGAACCGGCTGATTCTGCTGAAATTTATGAAGTTCTGGCTAAATTGGTTGGATTAGCTGATTCTGCTGATTTACGGGAGAATATTTAAAATGGGTTTTTAAGAAAATTATGAAAAAGTTATATCAAAAAATAGCTAAAATGATCTCTACAGTAACTTCAACCTTACTTCTTCTTATTGTTACACAATTCAACGTGTGAAATCGAAAGTTGTGTTTTTAGTGAAAAATTGACTGATAAACCATATAAGTCGAAAAATATGATCACCAAATGAGCTCTTAATATATCAGTGTCGAAGCAAACCCCAATAATATATTATGTACTCCATATTTCATTAAAATGAAATAGTTTTTTTATGGTAATTAAAATGAAGATAGTTGTTATTAGTGTTACTGAATTAGATATTTGTCATATTTCAATCGAGAAGTTTATCATTTTATTACACTCCGTAATCCGTGTGCAAATATTAGTGTCAGGAGAAAGATTAAAAATATGTTTCAAGTAGTGGTGGACTCGGGTCGGGTCGCCCGACCCGGAACCGGTACTATTTGCACCCAGCCCGGTACCCAGTCATAGGACCGGTCCGGGCCTGAATCGGTGGCCCGTCCAGGGACTGGTCCGGGTAGGCCCAACACGGGGGTTTTACGGTGCAGGCTCGGGTTAGCTAAATATGGAACCGGCCCGGCCAGGCCGAGCCCGGTTCGGGCTTTATTCTTTTTTTTTTTCAATTTTTTTTAATTTCCCGGGTTGGGCTGGGTATTTTGGGCCATTTGGGGTGGTGTGGGGGGCTGGGGTGAGGGGGGTCGGGGGTAAAATTTGAAAAAGGAAAGAAAAAAAATTAGAAACTGGCCCGAGGCCCGGCCCAGATCCAGTGGCAACCTGGGCCGGTCCCGGGCCTTCCCCCAACCACAAAAGGCCCGACCGGGCCTAGGCCCAGCCCGGCTCCATGCCTAATCAAGTCTCGTGTGAAAACAAAAGGAAAACGCTGCCGCTAGACTAGGGGTGGACTCGGGCCGGGCGGCCTGCACCGGAACCGGCCCGAACCGGTTACTGTTTGAACCGGCCCGAACCGCCGTCCCGGCTAGGGACCGGTCCGGGTAGGCCCGACCCGCTGGGGTTCCGGTCCGGGCTCGGGCCCCTCAGGCCCTGTCCGGGCCAATTTATTTTTTTTTTCTTTTTTTTTTTTAAATTGTTTTGAGTTTTTGGGTTGGGCTGGGTATTTTGGGCCATTTGAGGTGGTTTGGGGTGGTTTGGGGGTGAGGGGGGAGGGTTGGGGGTTAATTAGGAAAAGCCAAAAAAATATAAATTGAACCGAGGCCCGGCCCGGCCCGGACCTGGGGGTTACCCGGGCCGGTTCCGGGCCTCCCCTTTCATGAACCGAGGTCCGGTCGGGCCCAGGCCCGAACTGGGCCCGAGTCCACCCCTATGCTAGACCAGGAATAAAGATGATGGTATTTCATGCTACCCTTCTGAAGTTCTGGTTTTAACTTTTGAAGTCAAAATTTGTTAAATCTGACAACTATTTATGCAAAAACTGCATTAAAATTCATCCATTAAATATTTGCTTCACTTTAAATGCTTGTTTTGTTATTTTCATACTTCAGTTTGTCACCTGCACAAATTTTACAATATTTGATTGCTTCGAGACTAAAACGCGGCAAAATGCAGTGTTGTTGGAAAAAATGGTGTTTTGGGCGAAAAGGCTGTTACCTAAACACCCCTAAGTTGTACTGAAACGGGCATTTTAAAAAGTAAACACGTAATTTCTTTTTGGGAAAACTGTCAAATAGGTCCTCAAACTTTCATAAAAAGGTCAAATAAGTCCTTATATAGCAGACTCTGTCCGGCCGTCGCGATTTGGGGCGGTTCCCGGTGGAATTTTTTTATGAAAATGTTTGACATCTTGTACATCAAGTCTAGTTTACTCATGCCATATTTCAACTAAAACTTCAATCGAGAACGCATTCAAATTAATTCTTGAAGATAACTGCGCATTTAATTACACAGTCATCTTCAAAAATTAATTTGAATGCGTTCCCGACTGAAGTTTTAATTGACATTTGGTATGAATATACTAGACTTGATGAATAAGATGCTCAAAAAATTTCATCAAAAAATTCCAAAGGAAACCGCCCCAAATCACGATGGCCGGACAGAACCTTCTATATAAGGACTTACTTGACATTTTTATAAAAATTCGAGGACCTATTTGACAGTTTTCCCTTTCTTTTTTGAATAATTAAACTGGAATCAACCATGGAAAATGCAAAACTCTACTTGCATATATACATACATGTCTGTATACGCACATACGTACACAATGCATAATAAATATTGTATCTACCTGAACCGGATGAACGAGAGATTAGTTAAACCTTTTACAAGAGAAACGCAACTGCAAATCTTTATATTCCAGGACTATATCTCGTTCAGATTTGATATGATTATAATATTTAAAAGATTTATAATCACAAAGAGAGACTACTTGGGTTGCAACTGCTTGGAGTGTTACCCTTTTCCTCAGCAAGCTCTTTACCCTCCTAACAGCATTGTGAAACAGGGGGAGGATGTTCAATGCTCTATTATGAGTAGATTCCAGCTCACATAAACACATTCTGGGAGAATTTCTGTTACCCACAGGAAGAAGTGAAGAGTGGTGGTGGGATGGGGTGGGTCATGGGTGGTCATTATCTATCCACTCTCCACCCAGACGTTTTTAATGCCATGTGTGGCGGAGATTGAGGAACTTATCTTCTCTTTGGGCTCTGCTCATTGACACCAACTAATGCAGAAAAACTCACAGTTTAATTGCCAGCAGTGAACAAAGTGATGACCCCCTGTGGGAGCATAGGAAAGGGGTATAAATCTCTGGTTAGAAACATGGTCTGATCCTAGTAGATGACAAAACCAGATAGTTACTACATTTCATATTATACTTACATACTCTATTATATTCAAATATTTCACACGGCTACTTGTTGCCAAGGCGCTCGCCCAATCGTCTAGCGACTAGGCAGTTCACTGGCACCACACCTGATAAGTGATAACATTGTTGAATATGAATTTCGAATTACTATGCTGCCGGAAGTGGTTGGTGCAGAAACTTAGAAACATTCAACCATGTGTTTCTTGAATGTTGGCTAGCCAAGTAAATATGGCAGCAATCTTATGATCCGGCAGGTCTCGACTTTCCTGAGTGCAGTCAGTTATACCAAACAAGTTTGTATGTTATGGATGATCAAGGGTTCAGGTGTTAAGGTTGTTTTTACTTGGACTGTAATTTGCTGGTCTGGTCTGGTCTAGTCTGGTTTCTTTGTATTTTTATAACTATCCAAGTCTGGTCTGGTCTGGGACAAATTACAGTCCAAGTAAAAACATCTTAAGTGGCAGAAGGCCTTATCCCTTCTTACATAATAGTCGGAACACAAATGCTCCGTTTGGTTAGAAGTGAACCTGGATTCTTCCAAGATTTAGCTTGGGTACAACTCGTCCGGATTGTTATGTGATGACAAGAACCTAGATTTTGATGAACTTAAGTTCACCTCAAAGAGCCCCCCAATAGAGATTTTCATACATTTAGTTCTCCATACAAACAACCATTTATTGCACTGACCTAGGTTACACCTAATAACATCCTAACATCATTATTTCATTATTGTATTTTAATTTAGCATCACCTTGGCTCATCCAATTTTTACTGAACCTAGGTTGTGAAACTTTGAACAAATGGCATTGCTTAACAAGTTCGGCTACCCAACTTTAGATTTAAAGCCTGAATTTGTAAATTGTAGTTGTTCTTTTTTGTCTTTAGTTCTCCTTCAGAGCATCCATGACTCCTATGAGAATCTAGCTTAATTTTCAAAGACGCCGCTTTTGGTCTCAGGTTCTGTTTGGTTGGATGATTATGAATAGTTTTGGAGGGCTTAAATTGCCCACTGACAAGTATGTATATATTGAAAAGAAAAAATAGCCCTCTTACATCCAAACAGAACCTCAAATGCCAAAAGTGAAGACTGCAGATACCAAAAGGTACACACCATGAATAACTAGGGACTAAAAGTGCCATCTTCTTTTAATCGACTACAGTTAGATTGTAAGAAAAAGATAAATGTTTCTATTTTTGAATTTACAGAGTATATATTTGTACAAGTCATGTTTTGCATCATTACAAAAGGAAAGATGGATAGAAAATCCAGGAAGACTTTTTAGGGACAATGGAAATCTAAAGAGGAAATATTCTGACCTTGGTCACCACTTGACATCCAGTGTTAGTGGCTCTGAAGTAACAAGGAGGGACGGAATCTTTGTGAATGAAACATTTGACATCAAACTGCTCCACGACAATGAATCTACTTCAACAAAAGGTCGGAATTTCTTCATCATTAGTGGCTTCAGTGACCCTTCCCTAATTCCTGCCACCACCTCAAACCAAACGCGTTCAGCCTTCGGCCTTGTCCTCCACTCACCTAACGTACTCCACTGAGTGTCATTGTTACGGATATTTCTCTCCAACTCCATCTGGAACCGAATAACAATTGACGGTTTGATCCTTATTTTTAGGCCAAGTCCAGTTTTTCTATCGGCTCTCCCACCCACAAAACTCTTCAAAGCATTTTCCAGTAAAGTTGCCTTCTTGCTAAGAGAATCAATTACCGAACTCTGTTTTCTTTGGACGTTTCCTGTATAACACTTATCTGGAAGCAACATGATCGTGTCTCCAGATAGAAAAGAGGGTTTTATGGCCGAATTGGGGCTTTGAGTCTTGAACACAGACACATGTGCTGACCCTCTAACACGTATTGGAAGTGATGATGAACATGAAGAGGGAAACTTGCTCCTCAAGTTACTGAAAGTATGCCCATATAGTGGTCCGTTTGGAGAGGGATGGGTATGGAATACAGTTATTTCTTCAGCACCTTCCACTTCTACTGTCATGCCTTCACTAACCAGTATTTGTTTCAAACCAGGAACTGAAACGTTTAACTGATTAAAATGTTCAGACATTAGCACTTCCAATCTAGCATCCAGGAAATTTATATACGAAGTATAAAGAAAAAAGAAAGCATAAAGAAGTAAAAAGATAAAGGAAAACCAAAGAATAAACAAAAATAATGACATTCTACAAATCCAAATAAAACTTAGATGAGCAAAGTTTTATGAATGGGCATCACGATTCTTTTTTTACTAAAATACTTGCAGTTTCACTAATGAAAAAAGAGGTTAATATGGCAATCGGAATAATGTATAGAACTTGGAAATGTAAATTGCATATTTTTAATCATTCCCCCCTTAAATTCAAGACAACATTCCTAATGCTTATACGCTATTACAGAAAGTATAACAAGTATCACAAGTGTGAGAGCTTACCTAATGCTCTACAATAGCCAGAAATTGGGGTATGTACCATATAAGCCATCAAATAAAACGTAAAACAAACAAAACAAAGCTGGAGTTGTAATGAAATCAAAATGTCATGCCCCTTGGGATGCAAGCCTAAATAAAACTATAATATCAATAAAAGTTAAAATATATAAAAATCTGTTTCTCAGGAGCCATCAAATAAATACATATTAGTTTTCAGTAAAAGTGAATGCAAGAGCCATTTTCATAAACTGCCCTCGACTATCAACTTAACTACTTCATAGCCCAATTACTCCTAGGTCGAATTTATTTAATTAGAATACATGGTAAATTTTCCTTTGCAAAAAGAATACATGGTAAATGATTTCAAAGATGAATATAGAAGTTAATCATGATTTGAATATGTACGGAGTATATACATAGAGAAGATAGTACCGGCAAATTGAGCGAGAAACTATAATCATCACCAGCAGCATACAATTCCAGTGGACCTTCAATCTTAAATCCATCAAGAACAGCGTTGGAGCCAATCTCTTTAACCAGAGACTCAAAGTCAGACCAATTCCTCTTCCCCAATGATTCAAACTTTTTCCACTTGGACACTTGATCAAACACCTTGAACACGATTTCAGTCTTTCCCAACCTAACCCCAAACTCGTACTTCCTCACATTGCCAAACTTGGCTCTCTTAGCATTCAGTTTCGAAATCCTAATCTCCTCCAAATCCCATTTCTCTCCCTTCGAAATAGACTCCAGTACCTCCTGCAAACCCACATGAAAATAACAGCAATATAAGTAACGACTTAAAATCTATAGGAAATTGAACAGCAGGAAGAGCAGAGAACCTTCAATAAGTACGAGGGCTGAGAAGGAGGAGGCGGAGGTTGAGAGAAGAGAAAGGAGGTGGCTTTGGGGTAGAGATAGTGGGAAACGTTGAGAAGTGGTGTAGACGATTGGGTTGAAGAAGTTAGGATAAGGTTTTGGCAGTGCAGAACGAGGAAGAGAAAGAGGTTGAGCGATCTACGGAGCATCGTAGTTTCGGCTATCGTGATGATCGTCGCCGGGCGTCGACCTTAAATCTGGGTAAATTTCCGGTAGCGGCGATTGCCTGAGATCTGATGGTGAAAATTACAAGTGTGCTGTCATATGTAATGTCTCGTTGAATCGGATGATGGCGACAAAGTATTGACGGATTTCATATTTAGTAAAGCGTAATTTCTCTTAGTCATTCAAAAGGACAAAAACAACCAAATCGAATATCCTCCCTCCGTGAATAGCTTCTCACTTTTGCTCTTCTAGGATATGAAAATTGAAGAAAATTTGGAGCATTATTTGGGTGTAGTGTGTGAGCCAAACAGCTTACTAGAATAATATACTAGTAAAATATACTAAAAATTTGATAAAGAGAAAATAAATAAAGGCCATTCCATTCCCTACCTCACACCAAATTTAAAAAATCTTATATTATTAACAGGTCCGGTCCTGACATTTTATGGGCTCAGGACAATACAAATAGACTGGGCCTTAGGGATAGCGCACGAAAAGCTATAATTTAAAATTATACAATTTTACCGTCAAAATACGAGTATAACACATAAAAAAACTAACAAAGCATATGATTAGAAAATATATAAAGAGCGTATTGATAAGTGACATTCGAGGATATAATGTACCTAACAACCGAATGAAACGAGTAGTGCAACTATAAGGCGCAATAAAAATTTCGAATCAAGGGAATTTGTGAAAGTTATATCTTGTATGAGTAACTTTTTCATATTTTAAATCACACTTTCACTAGACAAAAATAAATTCTAAGTTTCTAAATTATGGACACTAAAGTTCAATCTTTCACTAAATGAGAGAATCGGATGAAATTTGTGAAATATATCAATGGATATACATAAGACATGTACACTAAAAGATTAAAATTAATGTAATAATCCTTAATGATTCAAAAGAAATGTTGAAATATGTTCCCAATGAATTCTAATGTGGATGTTTCAAAATTATAGACTTGCATCGTGTACATGGTAAATAACAAATTAGAAGTATCTAAAAATATAAGTTTGATTTTATTTTTTATTTTTTATAAAATGTAATTTATATATATTTAAAATATTTATGTACATACATACACACATATTTTAAAATTTTATGGGCCCTACAGGAGCAAAGGGCCCTGGGCGCATGCCCCTCCTGCCCATGCCCCAGGACCGGCCCTGATTATTAATGTAAATAAAGAGTCAAAATTATTATTTTATTTATTTACTTATTTAGTTATCTACTTATTTATTTATTTATTTACAAACTAAAAAGTTAATAATTTTCTAATTTACTTAAACCATTAGCAACTTATTAAATTAGTTACTAAGTTACTGATTTACTCAAAAAAAAAAAATAAGATACTCTATTAAAAAACTATTAATATAAAAAAGTGTTAAAATTTTCTAATAAGAATTATTTATATCGTCTTTTTTATTTTCTAATATAAAAAAGTGTTAAAAACTACTTGTATTACTGATTTACAAACTATTTATATTTTCTAAAAAGAGTATTAAATTTCTTTCATTTAAAAGAATATTATTAACGTAAAGATTCTAATAAAAAGTGTTGAATAAATAAATAATAAATAAATAAATAGTGTGATAATATAAAAAAATGAAATTAATATAAAGATAATGAGCACATGAAATAATGAATACCGAATAGGGAAAACGGTCAATTTAGTGTTCGTACTATCACGAAAAAGTCGATTAGGTTCTCAATTCTCATATTTTTGAAAAAATCAATCGAATTCCCGAACTTTGAAAAATGTTCAATTAGGTCAATTAGCAAGTTACCAGCCACGTCAGCGGGTCAATCGCTGTCGTGGCACTCTTATGGCAGCCCAGTAAGCAGTTACTTTGCTCACGTGGCGCACACGTCGAAACCCAGGCAACCATTTCCAGATGACGTGGTGCACATGTGGACCGCTAGCAAGTGACCTGCTGACATGGCGGGTAACCTGCTAATTGATCCAATTGAACATTTTTTCGAAGTTTAGGGATTTGATTGATTTTTTTTAAAGTATGAGGACCTAATTGACTTTGCATGATAGTACGAGGACCAAATTGGTAGTTTTCTCAACGAGTATAAATTAAATTAAATAAACAAATACTCACAAATATGTTTTTACTTAAGATAAAATTTTCTGGTCCGGTATGGTATGGGCTGGTCTGGTCCAGTCTGATATGATCTGGTAGATGTCTAGTCTCTATGTATTTCAAATTGTTGAGGTCTAGTTTGGTATGATCAGTTTAAGTCTGATCTGATCTTGGACTAAAATAAGTCCAAGAGTGACATTTTTACATAATCTAATCTCTAGATTCATCTCCATTGCAATAGATGATTCTAAAGTTTTAATAAGAATATTGTAATGTGTTACAAATATTTATCTAGTAATTAATTAGAGTTGTAGTCCTGCTTATCGGGGCACATAAAAAAGTACATAGTATTATTTAAGGATACATGTTTTCTTGGATCATGAATAAAAACAAAAGTTAAAGGAATATTATTAAAGATACATAACCAGATAACAATATACTCTTTTATTATTATTATTATTATTATTAATAATAGTAATAGTAATAGTAATAGTAATAGTAATAGTAATAGTAATAGTAATAGTAATAGTAATAGTAATAGTAATAGTAATAGTAATAGTAATAGTAATAGTAATAGTAATAGTAATAGTAATAGTAATAGTAATAGTAATAGTAATAGTAATAGTAATAGTAATAGTAATAGTAATAGTAATAGTAATAGTAATAGTAATAGTAATAGTAATAGTAATCTATTGTTTTATATAATAAAGCTCAGTTATAAATTGATGATGTGTCTTTCTCTCATTGGTTAATTAAATTTAACTAAAAAAAAATTAAAACGTACGAGAGAAAAACCAGGAGAAAAAGCCGAACGAGATAACGCTAAATAAACTGAAAGAAAAGTCGGAGAAAAGAATAACTCAAGCCGTCAAGCATACATAGTCCTTAATTGTAAACAGAATAACAATTTTATTTGTAGGCAAACCATTCGCACTATTAAACCACATAAACTATTGCCAAAAAAACCCACATAAACTGTACAAACGTAAGTTCTTTTTTATAATAAGAAAACGTAAGTTCTTTTTTATTGCGTAGTATTAATTTAGGTTTTTGTTGAGGTATATTTTATTATAAAATTAAAGCATATGCAACTAGATAAAGTTACATTACACTAGATAGAGTATTATAAAAAAAATTATAAAATTAATTATAAAAAATGATAAAATTCCGCTAATATTACTCTTTCAAGAGTTACAGACAAAATTGTGACTTCGTATCTTTTAGTTACTATAATTATGTTCAAAGCTACTATGATGTAGTAACCATGATGTAAATTTTGAACATAGTTATAGTAACTATATAAGTTAACAAGTCATATTTTTGTTCACGACTTTTGTATTAGTAATATTTTAGAAATAACCTCTAAAAATATTATAAAAAAATTAGTTCACAGTTAGTTCATCACGTACTATTCATCATTCTCTATAGTGGTGGATTATTGCTCACTTTAAGCAAAGTAAGGAATTTTTTTTTGAAGTGTTATAACTTTTGTATTCACTCCGTGCATCACTGCTCATTTGGAGAAAGGGAAGGAGAAAAAAATCTCATTTTTAAAGTTATAACTTTTTTATTTGTACTCCAGTTTTTACAACAAATACAACAAAATTCATAAATTTTATAATATTTCATATGACACTAATATTGCATATATAAAAATTAAAAAATTATTTTATATAATAAAGTTGAGTTAAAATAAATGATGTGTCAGTCTCTTATTGGTTTATTATAAAAAAATTACTATCATTTCTACTAAAACATTTAATAATCCAAGTTCACTCGGTGCATCACTGCTATTCACTCGGTGCATCATTTCATTTGGGTTATTCTCTGGGTTATTACTTATTAAATTACGTACTATTTATGATCTTTGGTATGACAAAAAGGAGATAAACAACTACAATGGAAAAGGGAGAAAAAAAATAGGAGGAAGAACGTAAATAACTAGCACTTGACATTATGTAGACTCCACACATTAGAACATTTAATTAGTTCATAATATAGATAGGACGATTAATAGAAAAGTCTAGAGAAAATTAAGTAGGACAAAAAAGTGCAAAAACATATCCTTAGAAGCTATTCTATCCTTAGAGCTCCCTCCGTCCCACAAAATTCTTCTAACTTACCATTTTGGGATGTCCCTAAAAATTCTTCTCATTTCCCTTTGAAAAAATTTGTGTCGCTAACATTCATTTATTTTTTCTTACACAACCACAACCATACATTCTCATTTTATTCCCATTTTTCTATTAAGCGTGCCAAGTCAACCCAGAAATTATTTTTTGAGACACATGGATTATTATTTTTTGAGACAAGGAAAAAAAATCAAATGAGATTAGACCAAAACATTCAACCCATATCAGATTAAACTAGAAAATGCAAATCAGATCAAATCCAATAGATTTAGATTAAATCAGAAATATTTAGATCGGGCTAGAAAAACTCGGATCAAATCAGAAAATTCAAACATGATTTATTAATAAATACTCTATCAGATAAAAATATTTAAATCAAATCAAAATCAGAAAAAATCATATCAAAATAGAAAGATTCGGATCATTTCAGAAAGATTCATTAGCGATCATAACAGGTTAAACCAACTTAGAAAAAATTCATACCAGATAAGATCAAATTTTAAAAAATCCAGATCATAAATATTGAAATTAGGCGAATAGAACCCCACTTATTAATATTCAACCATATCAATGAAGTAGAATTCACTGAATAAATATCATGTCAATTCATTTTCTTAAAAACATTGCACATCAAACTTTTTAAACAATGAGACTCTAATACACGTAACATGACTCTAATCATACAAAATTAGTCTTACATATTTGAGTGAGACTCTAATGACGGTTAATTTTTTCAAATGATGGAACAATAGTTCACGTGTACGGCACTCTAATCGTGCAACACCAATAATACACGTGACTATACAAAATAATGTAAACTCCACATACATCCAATTTCAATTCAACACTTCAATTCTTCTTATCATCCTTCATCATTTAATCAACCTATATATAATTAATACTCCATAATATTACAATATTTAGCACAAAAATAATAGTATAA